AGCACTTCTCACTGGTAATGAATAGTGCTGTTTGTAGAAACAAGTTGTAATTGGTAGTGCTCCTCTGCGTTAACAAACATATCCTACAGTACCACCTCTTCAAATGGAGGGTTTGAGGCCTTTTTATTTTGTACGTTTGCTGCTATTTATGTAAAGCATAGCCTAATTAAGCCTCCCAGGAGCAGGGTTCAGCAGTGTGTAAATGACAATTAAAGCTTTCAATGTAAAACTTAACAGTGTCTGATTTGGGAACTTTTGCAATGGTGCAGTTTATTAAAAGCCAATGTGTTCCTTATAAGGTTATCATAAGATCAGGCCACTTCCTGTGGCCACTCTCTGCCACCCTCTTCAGTCCTTTCTCTGCTTTCTCAGATCCTGTGGGAATCAAGCTGCTGACTGGAAAGCAACTTCACAAACCTCTGATTTATTATGATCTTGAAAATCAGCTTGCTTGATAAAACTGAAATTGATAGCTGGACTTATTCTTTAAAAAAAATACATATCTTCTTAAAGAAATACGGCTACAAAAGGAACAGTTCAGTGTGCTTTTCTGCAGTTCCATGGTTTGTAACACATAAAGACTATAATCATTTCAGATATGGCATTGTAACAGCATCGTTTGTGGTACAATTTTTTTTTTCCGGATTTAATTTTTTAGATTAATAGAGGCCTGAAAACTCTGAATGATCATTGATACAAAAGACAAAGGGAATTTGTATTCTCCTGGGGGGTTGGGAAGTCTGACAAAAAAAGAAATGACTGAAGAATTTTGTCATGGTATAAGGCAGTTCTCGGCTGTACCTGAGATCACAAAGTGAAACCTAATGTTTTCTCATTTCTAAAAATATTAACTTTGCTTTTCAATTAGAAGGTACTGAGATAGGTCTTAACTGTAAAATACAACTTCAGGCATTAGTGCTAATACAGTACAGTAGAAAGATGCAGACAAAATTGGGGTTTTGTGCATCATATATTGCATAAGTGTATTCTCAAAAACTTCTTCCTTTGTCTTATATGCTTTCATTAATGACAAAGGCGGGGAGTTGAAAATGAACTATGCATTTAAAAGTATGATAATAAATTAGGCTTTAGTGAAAACCAAACCTTAATCGGAGTGAATTGACTGAAAGGGATGAAGCCACCGTTTTCTTTTTATTTGCATTACGTTATCAATGTAATTAATTTTGCAATCAAATGGTTTTCTGTTGCGATGGAGGCTCCCCACCGTCATGAGAGGGTTAAGATGGAGAGTGCTGCTTGCTTGCTGGCTTCTCCCCCTGACCTAAATAAGACAGCTTCATATCCTCAGGGTCTCAATCAGCTCCCCGGTTTAGATCCAATGCCGCCTTCCCACACAGGAAGAGAGGTTGTCTGTCTTTGCCTCTGTGGAAATGCTCTGGTTTTGGTGTAAGTGCAGACGATTATACCGTATAGGAGCTATTTTATGAAAGCACAGAGGCGGCGTGGAACAAAAGAACAAAAGGGATCTGAGTTCTAGTCAGTAAAAGAAAAACAAACAAAAGGGCAGGATGCGGCAATTTACCCTTCATAGGATAGATTTCTCCTTGCCCCTGCTTGTCATTTATTTAATTTGGCTTACTTCCTCCATGCAGAAGATTGTCACAGCCCATATGTACTCTGACACGCAAGGCTGTGTGCGGTTTTTTTCTCTCTCAAGGGTGGGGATGGTGAAAGCAGACAAAGAAGCTTAGCTGTGTTCTGTTGCCGGCTGCACTCTCAGTGCACACAGCACTGGTGTACCTGTACTGTCCCATAGACACCTTTGGTCCTGCTCCATGAAATATCACAGTCAGTGAACATATGAAGCAGTATTTTAACAAAATACACCCCCCCCCCCCCCCCCAGTGCAAGTGCATAGGATGAATGATAAGAGACATTAATGTTTGAATTATCTCTGAATCGAAACACTTAACAGTTCCAATTTAACAGTTTCAAATTCACTCCATAGCAATAATTGCATGCTTTGCAAATGAGGGAGATCCACAAATCTGTTAAACACTATTTTACTTTGCAGGAAGGAGAGGATGGCGCATCCAGGGGCAGTGAAGCATAATGCGTTTTGTTAGATGTTGTCCTCCTCTCCAGTCCTGTGAAGCTGGGACTTTGTGTTGCCTCAGTGGAGGTCGCATGCCTGCTGTCGCTCTTCTGGCCCCTAACATTTTCACCATTGTTTTATTTCACATTTCTTGTCATTACTATAAGTATGTTTTTGCAAAGAAACCTCAGCACAGAACACTTTTCTACTGTTTAGCAGACTGTAAGCAGAAACTTTCTCAAAAAGTATTCCTCACAGAGAATGGGTTAGAAGTCAGATTGTAAATTTACTCTTCTTTTCATAAAGAAGATTTTCTGACAGGCCGGAATTCTCATCCAACTACTTAAATCTTACTCAAATCCTTTAAAAGGTAAGTCAAAACTGCTGTGACAGAACTTACCTTGTGGTAAACCATTTTCAAGATAATTTATTTGATATAAAGATCCTTCCATTTTATAATCTATTTATCCAGTAGAGGGTCACAGGGGAGCTGGAGCAAGCAATGGGCACAAGGTAGAATATACACTGGACAGGATGCCGGTCAATCGCAGGCCATGCACATACACAAACCAAATAGAGGCCCTTGATGTCATTATACACAGTATATAAAATTGTTTTTATTCTAGAGTGTATTGATCTTTCTAGCATCAACTCAGTCTAGGTTGGCATTGCTAAGAACAGTAGCCTTTTAACAGTGAAACACAGCAGTTAATAAGATAAATATAAATATACTTCCTGTTGCAAGGAATGCAGAGTTGAAATAAATGGAGAGTAACTCGATTTAATTCATCATGTGATGTTTCAATGTCTGGCAAGAATGCTGCAATTCTTAAAGCATTTTATAAACCTGGTTTTCTGGCTGAATTCTGAATTTGCTTGCATTGGCAATTCTAGTTGTCATTAGATACAGGATTTCATCAGTAGAATAAGTAGTCAAATATACAGTTTAATACAACAGAAAAAAATATTAAAACTGTTTTTAAAAAGACAGGATGCAGTATGCAGGTTCCAGAACATTTCATGATTCGTACCAAAAACATCATGCTAGCTGTTCTTTTGTACAATGTCCTCCAAAAGTATTAGGACAACAAAGTATAAAAATGCTATTTTTACTTTATAGTCAATTTGGGATCTTTTGATTAATTCAAACGACATGTACAATATAACATGCAATTTATTTTTGAGTATTTCAATGCCAACATTTGATCATATTACAACAGAAATGTATTGTGTTCAACTCAATCATGGTTACTTGAAATAAGTCACTATAAAATTAAGTACTTTTCAGAGTGTAAAAGTCAATATTTGCTTCCCCTTGATACCTTGATATTCTATACAGTATATGCTATTTGCAGTCCCAGTACTTTTGGAGGGCACTGTTTGTTGATTTATTAGACTACGTGTTTGCTGCGCTTTCATTTAACCTTATACAGTGGCATGAATGAGGTTTGCTCAATGATAAAACCTGCAGTAAAAAACGCATCTAAAAGCCCTCTCTGTGTAGCAGGCTTAACAACCAGGGAAATGACTTGGGGGCTCGCATACAACTCTACATTATCCCTCCCTGCCAAAAGTACCGGATATTGCATCCTTCTGAGCCCCACAAGCTGTAACCTTTGTCTTTCTCAGTAATTTCTTACTCTTGCTCCAGTATAAACACACAGCAGTGGAAAGTTTGAGGCGTCCAGATTGCAGATCAGACATGTTTCTTTCCTGCCAGGCCTGTCAGTATCCATTATATTTCAGGGGTACGTGGCAATTAAATGTGCTGTTATTTCACATCTTTTTTTTGCGACTGAGTTTTGTGAAAAAATTCAAAACATACCTAACTTTGCATATAAATTGTTGATATAAAGAGATAAAGACATGTTTCCATAAAAACATCATCACAACCTGCTTGTTTTTAGTAGTTTACTCCTTGTGTTCAGTGCTAAACAATTTAGGAGGAGAGTTAAAAGACTCTCAGTACTGCCAGTGTATGTCTATTATTCAGAAAGTAATAGCTTTCATCTCTAAAACTTTTTAGTAATCCCTTTAAATAGTATAATGCGTATTTTGAAGATGTTTTACTTGCCAAAAAATGCTTATGTTTAGGATAAAAGCTTTAAATTAGAGGTCATTTAATAAGGTCCGTAGAATTACACACAGCAGCCTCTATTTTGACATGCCGCTCAAAAACACACAAGAACTCTGCATTGCTCCTACAGCATGAAAGAGAATATTGATTTGTTTACTATTTAAAGCCGTGTGCGTCATTCCTGATTTTGCTTATTTCAAGATGCTGCCCAGGACACTCCTCCATGTCATCAGTATTCATCACCATGAATAACAGCATGGCCCAGAATGGCACTGGACCGATGCATGTTCCTTTCTCACATTTTATCTGGTCTGGACCAAAGACCAGCTTTTATGGCTCCACTGAAAGGCAGCCCAAACTGAACAATAAATACGTTTGGTGTTTTCCAGCACATTCGTGAACAGATTGGATGATTAACTTATTTTTCTGACTGTGGCATAGATGTTCGCTTATGTAAGTGTGCGCGGGACCCTATGGAGACAGTTTGTCACTTTCCTTCCTCCAAGTGCGTCTCATACTTGGCCTGTAGCTCGCAGGCTAATCACCCGCAGACCCTCATTTCAGAGAACAGAAGGCAGCAGCTGCCAGCCTTGGCAAGGACCACTTTTTTTCCATTTCTTGATTTTCCTTTGTTTTACAACCTTTAAAGAGCTAGAACATATCGCTCTCTCTACAGTTTTCGTAGGCTTCATTTTATTCCTTTGTTATGGGCTTCAGAAATTGGTAACCCAACCAAACCAGGCTCTGGTAATTGCTCTGTTTTCATTCACATCGGGAGTCCTCCATGTATTAGAACTGAATCTGCAAGTTAAAACATAAATAAAGCTCGCTTGTGCAGCTCTGATACCTTTCTTTTTGTAATTCTAGCCAATCGAAGAGCTGGCAACGCTGTCACCTCAATCCTGGCCAAAGAGCTGATGCAGGACGATGCTGTTGCTACCACGCCCAAGAAAAAGACTAAAGTCGAGAAGCAGGAGATGCAGGAAAACGCAGTGGAAACAGATGAGGCAGAAGCCCTAGAAGACATCTTAGAAGCCCCACCAGCGAGATCCAGTTAAAAGAAAAATGACCACAAGACTCGAGGTTGCCGCAATCGAAAAGAGAGCACACAGCAACTCCTGTTTCAGAGTTCAGATCATGCCTTCCTTAAACAAGACAGCCTGACAGGCACTAAAAAGTGTGAGATGGAGAGGAGGATGCCTGTCTTTGTGTTTGTTGAAAGACTTTTTTTTTAATTGTTATTCTACGTTTACTTTTAACACTGGTATGGTTGCTGTAGGCACCTATTTACACTGGATCAGTCTGTTAGAATGTATAAACTAAGGATCTCTTAACATGCATGTGCATGAAACATAATGTCTTAGCACTGAAATCTTCAAGTGAAAGCCCAAGATTGTTAGGGGACGATTTGGTCAGCTATAAATTCACTATTTCTTAACTATATTTCAGTGTAATGTTCATGGCGAAGGCAATGAGCTCATAATTATTTATTACCAGTGAGATAAGGACAAATTTTACACAAAATAGCAAGGGGGACTTGGGTTTTGGAGTCGGACTTGTTTGTGCAAGCTATTGGTCTTCTACACCAGAACGTTCCTGGCAGTGGCTGGAATTGACTAAAATGTAACTTGAGAACGTTTTACAGATACATCTTATGTATGCGGTGCATCTTTAAAAAAAATAAAATTCCTAAATGCAGTTACCTGTATAAAAGTGCCAATATAATTTAAATGTGAGCACGCTTCAGATAAAAAGTTGTTTCAGATGATAAGGCTAATGTAGAAAGCGTCACCACATGATTTCCTGCCAGTTCCCTTTCTGTCAATCTGGTACCTCACCACCTTTTTGTTGTGTATTTAAGGAGATGTAAGTTTTTTTAGTGTTCTTGATGTCTGCATTTAAACATCTTTTTGTATAATGGTTTATTTAGAAATACAGTATCTCTGAAAATGCACTGAGTGTAAAATTCAAAATTTTAAAAGCACGTGAAATTTAGAATTACTCGGTAAGTCTTGCGGTGTCATTTTTAGTCAGCTCCAGCCATAAGAGGTGGTATGCATAAGTGTTAGATCTTTTTTTATTGGATTTACAGCATTTAAGGGAGTTTCAGGTTCTAGAATTATAAATTAAGGGCAAATTAAATGACATATGCCACGACATCATCTTCTGGTCTCTTCTGTATTCAATGTAGTGCTTACGTATTCAAAAACAAGAATGTACCTACTGTAGGTACAGTAGCTTCATCAGGCATGTCATCAATTGACGTCAATGAGGTTAATAATGGGTCATTTGTAAAGCCTTCTGTAATGTTCAGCTGGTGGTCATCAGCTTCTGCGTCATGCTGGTGGGTGTCTAGTAATGATTATCTTGCAGCACTGACAACATTTTCTCTTCCAAAATACTGCTGGGATGGAATCTGACCGAACAGAATGCTGAGTAATCTCCAGTATTATTGCTGGAGAAAACTATTTTTCTTAAACATTCTTCCTTCTCGTCATGATGCAGTTCTGAAAGGTGTGTGTACCTTTGTGTTTTAGCCCCTGGAGGAGGCTGCTGTTTGACGTGTTCTATTTTAACATGTTTAAGTATCAGTCACATATCATAAGGTCATGAACGTTTGTGCTGATGCTATCTGTGAAGTTCCGCTGAGGTGTGTGCTTAATTAGGATCAATTAAATCCAAAAAGAGACATTTTCCCAGGACGCATATTAATAAGAAAATAATCAGTTAATTATTGATTTATTTTTTGCAATACTGAATTTTATTTCTTGTACAGTTTATGATTCATTCTGTTTTCCTTGTAGGACCCCATGTCACAGAAAAGAATGAAAACAACTCATTTCGAGAAAGTACTGTTTTTTTAACATTGTGATATCAATGAAATTTGAAAAAGTGAATACTAATAATGGGATTCACATCAGGGTAAAATTTTAAGCTAGTGTTCCGCTATAGCTTAATTTTATGTTCATTTTTTTTATTTTGAATAATGTTTTAATATAAGTGATACAGAATCAATTACCTTTTTTCATGCTATTTGTCTCCTCTTTAGTGGAATGTTACTTCTATATTGAACAGTATTTACAGTAGGTATTCTTTGCAGCTGTTAAAGTATTGAAGCCCAGAAGATTAAAAATGTATTGAATATGTTCTTGTCAGTGAGATTTTGTTTTTTAATGAGTTATCCAGACGTTTTCACAATTGATTTTTCCGCTGAAAAACTCTGTCTATCATCTGTGTTGTGTATATCACTTAGAGAATACTGATTTTTGACTATTTAAAATCAGACAAAGATGATTAGCCATTTCTGTTAAGTCTTGTCCTGATGCAGGATCTGTGATATGTACACATACTGTAGGGTGTTTTTCTTTTTCTACTCTAAGTTTACCTGTCATATCACCAGGCTACAGTGATACTATTTACTGTTCTTCTCCCTGTGTAATTTATTTAATTTATGTTAAATGGTGATAAAAGCTTTCAGCTGGCTTTCACAATGTGTTAAATCTTTGTGCACTATCTCTACATCTCCAGTTATTGCCCCTTGTGTTTGCTATCTGAAAACCAGAAGTGGACAAAAGACCATCTGAATTTGACCATCTGAGGTATGAATTTGAATCACTTACAGAAATGGCTTCCTCAGGGAGTGAGGAACCCACTGAAGCTCAGCAGGTGTGAGCCTGGCCAGTACCTGGATGGGAGACCTCCTAGGAATGCTAAGGTTGGTGCTGGAAGAGGTGTTAGTGTGTATAGTAGGGGCGCTCACACGGAGGTCTGGGCCCCGATAGTGATGGGGGACACTATACGGTAAAAAAGGACCCGTTCTTCGGATGAGATGTAGAACTGAGGTCCAGACTCTCTGTGGTCATTTTTATTAGAGACTGTGCAAGAGACAATACAGTTCCTCAGACTACTGACCTATTAGTAACCAAATAAGCAGACCAAAGGGACTCATTTCATTTGTAACCAGTACAAATGCAGGAAAAAAACGGTATTAAATGTACTTGTGTTTGAAATGTAAGACTTCCTCCTTCTTGAGGAAGCATTTTAGACCATACATTTTGCTTGGTTTTCACCTGGTATAGATGTTTCGCCTTTTGTCTTTATGAAATGCCACATTAACAAAAATGTTGATACTTTTGGAGACTAGTTGCACTGTGAATAAAAGTTTAAATAATCAAGAACGTAGATCCAGTGAGGAAAGGCCAAGTAATGGGTTATGATGAAGGTGTAGGTGTAATATGGGGGGGGGGTGACAGGAAATGTTTCCTTCACAGTTTTGGCTGTGTGTGTTGTGATTCATTCAGGAAGCACCTGGGCATGAGGCCCAAAATAAGACCAGCAAAGTTTTTCTCCAAGACACAGAAGAGTTATTTCAAAACCAGTCCTCTCTTCAATTCCTGTTTATTTGTTGGGGAGGAATTGGCAAGCGGAAGGATTTGTGCAGAACAGGAAGTGAATAGGTGGCGCTGTAAGACCATGAATGAAAGTTTTCTCTTCCAGTGACCTCTGCCCTGGTAGTGCGTCAACAAAAGTGTCACAAACTCTCTGCGAGGACAACTCAGGATGTAAATCTCAGATCAGATGTTTTTTTAATCCATGTTAATGAACAACTCAAGCCAATATTTTTCAGTCATCAACAGGCTTAGCATTGTAACATGTTTAGGAAACTGGCCTGTTGTAAATATGTGGAATGGGATATTAATGTTACTTCTGAAAATACAAGTCGATGGAATTGCAAGAGAACATCATCATGTTGGGTTCACAGTTGGGTTCTTCCCTGATGTCGCACACTCAGTTTTTTGTAGGGCTTTGAAGCTTGTCTTCAACCACGCCTTTTGAAAATGTACAGTATATTATTCTTTATATAGTATATAGACGCCTAATTTCTTACTGCTAGGTATGGGGGATTTTCTGATTCATTTACGACTGATATTCAGTGGACTGTATAACCAGTCTGGCACAAGGTTTACCATTCAATACTTTGAAATATGTTTGTGCTTTAGATTGTAAGTAAACCTGTATAATAGCTTTTATATATACAGTATATATACAGAGCATTTCAGCCATGATCATACTTATTTGGTAAAATAGCACCATATTACCTGCAGAAGATGACAGGTGTGCAGTTTCATTATGTTACAGAACATAGGTGTGTGCTACATTATAATATTGAAGTACAATAAAGACTGTTGTAAGTCTTCTGCCAACTGCATCAGTTTCCATGGTGTGCTAAGTAATTTGAATTTAACATCAGTCAGGATACATATATCATTTAGTCTTGGAACACAAGTTACTGTTGTAGGGATCTTGCGTTATGTTAAAATTTATTAAACAGATGTGGTTTTACATTTTAGAATGCTTTTATTTTGTTTGTTTTACTGTGTAAGAAGTATTTTCATGCTGTTTTTGGAATAGCATGTTTTCATGTTGTTCAATTTGCTGTTTCGTAAGACATTCCGACTTTGGCTTTGTTCTTTGTTCACAATTCTTATGATGCTTTTGAATTTTTTTGGTCTTTCTCAGTCCCAGGATATATATATATATTGGGATGACATGTGGCCATAAAATACTGTAATTACATGAACACTTTGTCCTTTTAAAGCATATGTTGTCTGGGATTACCTTTGAATATGGTGTGCACTTTGATTGCGAATGCTGTTGCATCAGATTGCAGTTGGAATGTTTTTTGTAGTAGTGGGAGTTTAATTTTCCGGGCTTTTCATTTGTTGAAATCTGACTCTATGAATAGTTTTTTGGCAGGGGAAAACCAGTAACCAAGACAGCTCTGCTCTTCACTTTCAAGTGTCTAAGGTGATGTCAGTATGGAAGGCATAGGGGAAGACATTGTCCAAAAAAACCAGTGGGGGATAGTGGGAGGCCGCTCGTACTCCAGGATCATGATGTCATCAACCCCACACTGTTATCCATATGTCACAATACTCTTGAGTCACCAGATCTCAACCCAGTCAAGGGAATGATTGTTTTCTAGTGGCTAAGGCAAGGCAGCCTTTCTATGGTATGAAACAGCTTAGTAGTTATCCCTACAGTAAGTTACTGAACAATATGAACAGATCAATAGAAATTAACCTACAGTACGTATTATATGTCACTGTGTAAGGATTACAACTATACTAAGAAAGAAGTTCTTTTTTTTTAAGTAATAATAAACTTTTAGTCTTTCAGATGTCTAAAACAGCAAACTACATTATGTGAGTGGATTATCAGCCCCATATACTGTATGCTCTGTTAGTTCCAAACATTTGAAGGGAGATGAGCTATATTTTAGGGGTCACATGTCCCTGTAAAAGAAGAAAACAGTTCAAATGTGTTTGGGTTTTTTCTTATTGTAAACCAGCAAAAAGAGAAAAGAATCCTCTGGAAACCTTCTTGCTGACCTGCAGAGAAGAGAGTAAGAGGGAGATTGAGACCTTTTCAAACAAACTGCATCAACTATTTATGGAAACTTCTTTAGTAAATGTTATTTTGTATTCACTATTTTTACCTTAGAATGGCTGAACCCTTGCCCTAAATAAACCATCAAAACTATTTCTTGACATGCTGTAGGTCTAAGGGATGACTCAATGTAGATTCTCATGAATAGAATCAAGTCTCTGTAGGCCAAGGAGAACTTTAACCATTTCCATACAGTTTATGCTTTCAAAAGTGTTCAAAGACCTGGGTTTTGGATACTTCTAAATAATGCTCCAAGAAAAAGGTCCATACCTTAAAAAAAGATGGATGAAATTTGTATATATTTTTATAAAGATCTTTGCAGCCAGTGCATAAAATGGGCCAAGCAGGATGATCACGCAGTACCCAAGAAAAACAATACTTACGTCAGATAAAATATTCCACAGCAATGTTTTAGATCAAGTGAAAGTGTTCCTATACCACAATTATGCTTACAGTAAATAGTTTTAACCTTCACTTTATAGTTTATGTTTATGCTACCTGCATGTCCTCTTTTTATTTGCTGTTGCCAATTTGATTTTACTATCTCAATCCACTGGGAAATCCAGAATTAGCCAGAAAATTGGCTGCTTTCTTGTTCCCAGTTATAAAAATAAGTTAAACTGCTGCTATATAAATTATGCTTTGTCGCCGCTTGATATTAAACCAAAAATTTCCATTGTTGATTGCTTCCCTTCGTATGCATTTGATTATGGCAGTGAATCTTAAGTGTAGTGTGGAGTTCTGAAAGGCTGATCACAGTCTCCAGAAGTGGAAAACTGTGTTGTTAAACATTCAAGTGTACACCCCTATTTTCATTAAATCTTGTATTTAAAAATGTGTTGGTATATCTCTGGGTTGGGGTTTTTATGTTCCCTAAAAGTTATTATAGAGCTCTTCAGAATGGTTCAACAGATGAAGCAATGCAACATGTGCATGCTGTCCATGTTTAAGACTGCATGATCTCACTGTCACAAGGAATCTATATAATTCACCATAACATTTTGCTTTTCTTGTCACTGGCCCAGCTATAAGTAGAGTTTGGCAGAGAGTATTTTTTCCTTTTCAGTCCAGATTTAAAAACATATGGAAATGCATTTTAGTTCCCTAGCATGTTTCATCTGATATTAATCACATCGTGGCAGTTGGAAAACAAATAAATACATCGAAAAACCACTCTATTTATCATTCAACCATTTTCACTACAGAATTTTTTAAAGAAATCCAATATTGTAGATGAATGCCTATTTTATTTCTACACAATCCTAATAGCAGACATATGGTCATGTGAATTAAAAAAATACCTATATAAGTAACAGAGTTACAATGGAATCTTTTAGGCAGAAAATCTTTTAGGTTTCGCATTTTTTCTGCTTCAGATCTGAACCAGCAATGTCCCATGACACCAAGATAACACACTTCCATTCGTAAGTACTGTATTGTCTTACATTCTTAAAGTAAAAAGCACACACGCATTCAGCTTTGTCTCCTTTCAATTATCCCTAATTGCCACAAGAGAGGAATTTTCCATTAGTAAAATAATAGCCTTATATTAATCTTCCTGCTTGGATATTTAGGACTGAAGGAGTGCGTCATATACTTACCTCACAATAAATATGGTTTTTCTCCCTCCCCCTAAACAACCAGGGAGTATCCATAATGAAGCAATTAAATTGCATATGGAAAAGTCATGTGAAGATTAAAGGGTGTGTTAATCTTATTTCCTACTGAGACACCTTGATCAAACCATCCGCTCACGGGAACTCATCAGAATCGCATTGCTTGTAAAGCAGCAGGGAGATGCCAAGTGGAAGTGACTTATGGATCTAAATTGCGACCAAAAATTCAAAAGGGAAAATCCTGTGTGAAAAATGTGTTTTTAACACTCCGTGTAAAACTATCAGACTGGGAACAAAATGAATTTTGAAATGAATAACAAAGTTATTGTAGCTCAGTGAATACAATCTGTAAGGTTAAACGTTAAAATCTCTTGATTGGATGGACTGAAATATTCAACTCTGTATTAGTGTTCTTCTGT